ACATTTGCATCTTTCTCATTTTAAGTTTCTAATGTGTAGTCCATAGTAGTTTTTGAATGGGTGAATGAATGAATGAATAAAACACTGGAAATTCAAAAAACAGGTAAGAAATAGTTTAGTTCAGTGTTCATTTTGTTTTGTTTGAGAGAGCTTCTGTAAAAGGAGGGGAGGGAGAGAGAAAGAGAAAGAGTGAGAAATAGGTTTTTTTGACAGTCTCACCAGGTTTGATCCTCTTGTTCGAGCCTCCCATTTAGCTGGGACCAGAGGTGCACACCACCGCATTCAGCCTGTTTAGGTTGGGCTGGGAACTGTACCCAGGCCTCCCATTGCGGCTGTAGCCACCATGTAGTGGCACCCTCCACTTGGGCCACCATGGCGGAGCTGTAGTTCAGTGGTTTTCAGTGACTTTCAAGGCATCTCCCAAAGCCACGGTGTTTTTGATGTACTCTCAGTATGTATGTTGGTTGTTGGTTTTATATAAAATAAATGGAAAATTAAAAATTGAAAGACGGATTATGTAAGCTATAGCTAATGGAGATGGCATGGCATTATCATTAATGAAAAACTGAAGACACCCAGGATAATGTTTATTATATGTTAGTGGATGTGAATCCATTTTAAAGATATTTTTACATTTTGAGTTTAGGATGATTGCTTCATATCAGATTGAACTGGATATTCCTGGTTTTCTCAAGTAAAGTGGTTGAGGAAGAACCGCTAGGAGTAAGAGGTGTCAGGCCTACCATTTTCTTACTCTTCTCTGGTGTTTGCATTAGTAACAAATTTAATCTTTTGTTTCTTTAATGGTTTTAGAACACTTGCCCTTTGGAGAGTACTCGTTTCATTATAACTAGCCAAAATACCTCTAATCCTACTTAAATGGTCTCTCAAACAGTAGTATGTGGGAGTCTTCCAAAAGCTCATGGAAAATGCATAGTAGAAAAAAAATTTGTGCATGGATTTCAAAATTTTTTACACCAAAATAGCTTTGTACTCTTAATTCTATTTTTTGACAAACTTGTTGAATCCGCCTTGTACATGGCTATACACCATAAGCAAACCATGTCCACTCTCACATTACGTAACTCCCACCCGAAAGATGCCTTTTAGAACTAGGCTGTCATGGGGATAAAGGGACCAAATAAGGGCTGAAGTTATTTACTGGATCAAAACATTTCTAAACAAAACAAACTTCAGTATTTTTATTGTTGTTGTTGCCAGAAGGCATGTGCACTCACCAGACAGAAAGACAGAGACAGAGAATGAGGGAGGGAGGGAGGGAGAGAGAGAGAGAGAGAGAGAGAGAAGCTCCCCATGAGCCTGCCTGAAATTTTAGTGTTTTTGTTTCACAGTTCAATGGGTTGCTTTGCAGGATCCTTGGATGCCTGGGCTGGCTTTGGAGAGGAGTGAGCTGGTGCTGGGCCCGACCCTAGCAGATGATTACGATGCAGAAGCCAGTGTGGGGCTGACAGCCCTGCTGTGGGAGAACTGCCCACCATGTGTGTGTCTTTCCAGCTAGATTGGATGGCAGGAGCAGGAGACTTGGTGGGAGGGGAGGAGGAGGCTCAAGAAAGCTCCAGAGGAGGTCACCAAACAGCATTTTCATGTTGAAAGGCACCAAGATGGCATGGAAGGAGTCATCTTCGAATTGTGAGGGCCCAAGATGAGGGATTTCCATGTTGCAGAAAGGGACCAAACATCGGAAAACCCTACAGGAATATAGAAATAATAATAACAACAATAGTATAAAAGGACTTGCTTGAATTTCATGTGTTTTTTTATTAAAGAATGTTTTATTTTATTGTTTTCATTATTATTTTGTAATTTGACCAGAGATACAGAGAAAGGGAATGTGAAAGGGAAAGCTGCCAAGTCTGAGACTCAAACCTCAGTCAGCCATGTGGAAGTATAGCACCCCAACCACCATGCTACCTGCTGGGCCCTCGAATTTCATGTGCTTTTATAAATGTTTTATTAAAAGGAAGGTACATACAAATACTCATTATACTTCCCTTGCTTTGTTGTTAGAGAAGGGATAGACTGGAATATAATTATGGAATAAAGAAAATTAAGTTGAAATAAGGGGTAGTGAATGTGATGAGGTGTGGGGAATATATAATCAGAATATTAGCCAAAAAGTCTGATTTGAAGAAAGGTGGGTTGAAGGTGTCCACTCCAAACACATTAGATAGCAATGGACTTTTGTTCTTTGCTTTGAAGCCATACGGGTAAGATGGTACACTAACCTATTCGTTATTCGTTGAAGAACTTCACCAGCTTTGCTCTTTATTTTGCCATCTAGAAAATTACAACTAGTCAAAGATTATTTATTCCTTTTTCCAGAATTATTTTATTTAATTTCATTTATTATCAATATGTGTTTTATTTTTTAATTTGACCAGAGAGAGAGAGAGAGACAGACAGACAGACAGAGAGAGAGAGAGAGAGAGGGAAAATGAGAAAGCAAACCACCAGGTCTGGGACTCAGACTGTGGTTGGCCATGTGGGAGTCCAGCACCATAAACCACCGTGTCACCTGCCAGCCCTCTATTTATTTATCTCTTTAAAAATTTTATTTATTTATTTATTTATTTATTTATTTATTTATTTGCTGTAGGGCATGTGCACTTGCTGGAGAGACAGAGACAGAAAGCAATAAATCACCCCCCCCCCCCCGGGGGGGGGGCACCCCCACAATCCCCTTCACCCCCCCCCATCCTGAAATCCCTTTTCCTCTATTCTCCTCTTGAGATTTTGGGCACACATGCATATGCACCTGGCGTGAGTTTGAAGTGGCTGGGTCCAAGACTTGAACCACAGTTGAGTGGGAATCTAGTGGTATAACCACTATGCTATCTACTGGTACCCCTATTTATTTATTCCTTTAAGGTTTATTTAGTTATTCCATGATGAAAGAGACAGAGACAGAGATAAAGTACCTTCAACTGTGTCTTGATGCTGTGATCCACCTCTGGCTTCATCTAGCCAGGATCATGGGCACATGCACACCTGGTATATTCCAGGAGGTCTCCAGACATATCAGCAACCTTCCATGCAATCCTGCCTCACAGAGCATTGCCTTTTACCACTGTGGCACTGTCAGGTCCCCAAGGACTTAGTTCGTAATGCAATTTTTGTACTGAAGAATGAGTATAACCAAACTCTCATCATGTTCTTAACATTTTACAGGGTTGTTACATTCAAATGGAAAAGTTCTTTGTTGTAGGTCCTTAACTCAGGACATTTTATTCCAGCCAATGTAGTTTTAGGTCAACACTTGAAATTTGTATAAACTTTCTTACTCTCTTTCAGTGAGTTTCACATTTTATAGATTTACATGATTTTTTTTTTTAATTGCCATAGTACACACGTGCTTGCCAGAAAGAGACACACAGAGAGGGAAATCACTGTCCAATGGGGCGTGGAGTTGCCACAGTCCTTTCTCTTCTATTTCTTCATCTTGCTGTGTGTGCATGCACACACACACCCACACACACACACACACACACACACACACACACACACACACACTCACACACACCTGACATGTCTCTTAGGTTGTTGGGACCGGGATTCAAATCAGTCTCCATGTTGGACTCAAGTCCTTTTACCACTAGGCCATGGGATCAGCCTATAGATTTATATGATTTTTCATTTTAAGAATCTTAGTTCTGTCTATCCTTTGTTAAATTTAATCACTAGGCCATGGTGCCAGCCCATAGATTTATATGATTTCTTATTTTAAGAATCTTTCTGCCTTAGTTGTGTCTATCCTTTGTTAATTAGAGGTTAATTCAGGAATGCATTGCTTTGTTTTACATGAGATGTAAATTTTGCTTTATTTTGTTTTGCTTTTGGCCTGTATGATGGTGCAGGTTGCTTTACCTCCAGTCCTTTTAAAGGAGAAGTACAGCTCAAATATAGCAGTTTGGCTTGAATTATTCAGTCACTTGATCTTTTATATCATTTTTGAATAGTCTGTTTATACTTCTCAGAGTTTTCATTTAATTCCAATTTTGTGTTCAATAGGATAAGGCAAAATTCAAACCTAAAATCTTTGGGGACTATCTAGCTTCATAGCTGAAAAATTTTCACTTCCTTTCTGAGTTCTTTGTAAGAGGATAGGCTCAGAGAAAGTAGCCTTAGAGTGGCCACCAGTTGGAGATAAATCTGATTAACTTCTTAAAATGATTTGTTTAGACCCATGTGAAGGGTATACATTTAAATGTACTAAGACACAGGGCCAGATGGTGGTACAGTGGTCGTGCACTGGGCGCAATGGGAAACCTCCTGCCTTTGCATCCCAGGACTCCACGGCCACACTGGCAGGCACACACATACACATGACCCCTTGGCCAGCTGAGGCTAGGGGTGGACTGTGACATGAAGACTCTCTCTATTGGGCATGCCTATCTCTGTCTCTGTTTCTGTCTCTGTCTCTAATGGAAGACATAGATATGTACCTTTTTTTTTTTAAGAGAAATTTTTTGCTATAGGGCACGTGCACTTGCTGGAGAGACAGAGAGAGAGAGAGAAAGTGAGAAATCATCCCCAAAGGAGGATTTCCATGCTGCAATTTCTTCTTCTCCATTCTTCTCTCAGGATTTTGGGCACACGCAAATGTGCCTGGAGTGAATCTTAAGCCTCTTGGGCCAGGACTCAAACTGCGGTCGACTATATGGGAGTCCAGTGACATAACCGTAGGCCATCTGCTGGTCCCCATAAATATTTACTTTTAACTTGTTAACATTTAGCAGTCAAGAACATGTAAAGTTCCCTGTTGAAAACTAATATATATTGTATACATCATGATAGGGACTTTATGTAAAATGTGAAATTAAAAACAATGTTTAGAAAAGTTAAAAATATAAGGCAATGTATATAAGGGGGGTGTATAGGAGCATCCTTGAAAGCGTGTGAAGAGTGTGCTTAATGTAATTTGTCCTTGTGAGTTACAGTTTCCAGTTTCTCTGACATCCCTCTCTTTTTCCTCCCTGCAGTTGTACAATGGTAGATGGAGTGATGATTCTCCCTGTGTTAATGATGATTGCTTTCCCTTCCCCGAGTTTGGAAGGTAAGTGACTCACAGCTATTTGGGTTAGAAAAAGAGTGTATTGTGTTTTGCTTAGCTTACTGTAAACTAGTTGTTTTTTTAGTCCTGTCAGACTTAACACACCCTTTTTATAATAAGTGTTTGGTAATACCTGACTGCTTTAAAATGAAATTCTTACATATGTCTTACTTTTTACGTATCCTTAATTTAGAAAAAAAATTAGTTAAGTTATAATGCCTTACTTGGAATAACTAAGTAGGAGAGATGAAAGGAAATTTTGTAACAACAGAACATTATGTATAAACAAATGAAATATATTCTGGTGTAGTTGGGCATTTGTACATTGAAAGACAATAAAGTTGTACTTATTTGCACCTATATATGTCACATTCTTCAGGATGGCCCATAGTGTGCGATTACGCATTGGGCAGAGGAAACTGTATTCCACATGGCTGACCAGGCTTCAAGTCCTGGCCCAGTGGCTTGAAAAATACACTGGGTGCATACACACATGTCCAGGATCCTGATGGAATAGAGAACTGGAGAAAAAAGGATTGCTATGGGAGGTGCTTTTTCTCACACATGTACGCACATCTTCTGGCATTAAGAAAAAACAAAAGGGAAAAAAGTCTTCGGCATCCTGGTACTATTTATTGTATGTTATATTGGTGGCTTAATTGTCATAAGTGGTCTTACCTTCGGTGATTGTATTTTCTGAACTGGTGAACAAATTTGGTAGAATCCCAACAAAACAGAAGTATTGACCCTAGATTTATATAGCTATGTTCTTGGAATACTTAGTGTACATTAAAACAGTGTAAGGTAGGGACCAGCAATGAACGTAATGGCTATGTTGCTGGACTCCCATGTAGTCGACCTTGGTTCGAATCTCAGACCTGACGGCTTAAACTCACATCGGGCATGTGTGTGTGCATGCCCAAGATCCTGAGAGTAGAATGGAGGAAAAGGGATTGTGGCATGGCCATCTCCCTGGGGGGTGATTTCTCGCTTTCTCTCTCTTTCTCTCTCTCTTTCTGCCAAGCACACACGCCTTTAGCAAAAAAAAAACAAAAAAACCAAAAAAAAACCCACAAACCTCTCCAAAAAAAAAAATGTAAGACATACTTTGTGTTTTTATGTGTAACAATTTTCTACAAGGTTTCACTGAATTATATGAAAATTGGTCATGTACATGAATGCTCTGTGGGACAGTCAGAACTCATGGGACATCGGATGTTGGATTGCTATAGCATTATGGTGGCTCATAAACCACAAGCATTTATTTCTCACAGGTTTGGAGTTTGGGTAGTTTAAGTTCAAGATGCTGGCTGATTCAGCGTTTGGTGAGAGCCCAGCCTTCAGGGATGGCATCATCTCTCTGTGTCCTTATGGTGGAAGGGGTTATCTATTTCTCTGGGGTCCTTTTTTTTTTTTTTTGCCGTAGGGCACGTGTGCTTGCGAGAGAGACAGAAAGCAAGAAATAACCCCCCCCGGGGGGGAGGGGATCCCTTTTTTAAGAACACTCACTTATCCTAATCATAGGAATTCTGCCCTCATGATGTAATCTCTCAAAGATCGCATTTCCTAGTACAATCAATTTGGGAGTTAGGATTTTGCTGTGAATTTTGGGTGTGGGGGCAGAGCTGGGACACAAACATTCCAACTATAGCAGCTAATTCTTAGTTGTGTGATACCACCAGGGCCTTGGACATCTCTGTAACATGCTGTACTTACTTCCATTACTGCCCTCCATCCCCACACTCCTAGTTTCCAAAAAGTTGTTTAGGAATGGTACTATTAAAAACCACAAAGGATAATCGAGAGAGAAAGAAAACAAAAATTACTCTCAATTCCCTGTATTTACATGTAATTGCTTTTAGTATGTTGGTGTATGTCCCATAGACAAGCTCTACCTGTTGTGTATTGAGTAATGTGTGCTTTATTTGATAAGGCTCCTCCGTGAAAAAGTGGTCCTGAGTGTGAATCTCAGTCTTGCTAAGATCAGCTGCAACAGTAAGACTAACACCCCTGTTACAGGCTGAGGAGTAGTGGTCCACTTTGTGTAATTTATGAGTTTCCAAACAGGCATATAATTTGGTAAATTAGTGTAGCTAACACTGTGGGAAAATTAATGCTTAATGCACTAGAAAGCTGTTTTGTTGTATATTGGGTTCATAATATTCGATCTGTTCCTATTTCCTTTCCATAGTCATGGACATAGATTACATCTTATGTTTTCACATACGATAGCCATTAGTCACAGGTAACATTTGAAAGGTGGCTAATATGAGTTGGGGTATGCTGTAAGTATAAAGTACAAACTGATATTGAAGACAGTAAAAAATACAGATTTTTTTCTGTTTAATTTTTACTTCTGTGAGAAAATTTCGCATTATCCAAGGTGTAATTCACATTGGTTACTACTGGACAGTCCTGTGATAGAGGAGCTTAGAGTCTTGACTCTGCGCTAAGTAATGTCATTAAAGAAACTCCAGTTAAGATGGCAGTTTGTCACTTAGTGCCAAGAAGTTATGGAGAAAGGATGCTGTGTGGCAGTGTCGAAGAAATTAATAAGAGGAAATGGGCTTATATTAAAGCTGGGAAGATTTGATGAGTTAATAGTAGTGTTCAACAGGGAGTGATTTTACCCCCCAAGGGATGCTTGATAATTTCTGGAGATATTTATAACCAAGTTTCTAGGATTCCCCCCCCTTCTTTTAAATTGCTAAACACTGTATTATTTAAAAATCTGAAGAATGCTGAGAATTAAAGTCCTTCCAAATTCCACACCTTTCCCTTGGTACCGCATCAGTTCTCTGTGGCATTAAGCAGTTCCTTTCGAGTTCACTTGATATCATGGGTGGACCTGTGAACTTGGCAAGATAGAAAAAAGAGAGTAGTTGGGACCAGCAGTTGCCATAATGGCTATGTCGCTGGACTCCCATTTAGTTGACCGCGGTTTGAGTCCTGGACCCGGTGGCTTTAACTCATGCCGGGCACATGCACATGTGTGCCCATGATCTTGAGAGGAGAATGGAGGAGAAGAACTTGCAAGTGTGGCCATCCCCCTGAGGGGTGATTTTGCACTTTCTGTCTTTCTGTCAAGCACACACACCCTATAGCAAAAACCTCTCCCCCCCCCAAAAAAAAAGAGTAGTAGAGATG